ATCCAGCTCGTATGTCTTCATCTCGTGTGGAGCGTCACCGCCCTCCGTGTGCTGGCTCGCCTCCGGCGGCAAACGGGGACGGCGACATACGTCCGGGAGGACGCATTTATGGACGCTGCTGTCGTATGTTTTTGCGGCTCTTTGCATCGTGCTACGCACTCCACGCTCTTGCTAACGGATGACCATCCCTACAGCTTCTCTACACGATCCTTGCCGTGGTCGCTCTGCACGGCGTTGCTGGTGGAGGCATAGGCAAACACGCCGACAGCATTAGCGCAGCAGAGGCTTCTGTCGCCTTTCGCGCGTGGTTCATTTGCGAGCTCCTCTACGGCCCTTTGAGTGCCGTTGTACGGACCTCGATTCTGCTCTTCTTGCTGCGCCTGCGCCCATCACGGCTCGACAGAATAGTCCTCTACGCCTGCCTAACCACCATCTACATCTTCACCGCAGTCTACTTTTTCCTCAACTTGTTCCAGTGCAGCCCGCCGTCGTTCTTCTGGAGACAATTTACCGAGGTAGATCTCGAAGGCTCCTGCGCGCGTCCTGACATGGTGCCGAAGGCGGCCATCGCTCACAGTGCAGTTTCCGCGCCCAGCGACTGGGTCACGGCTCTGATGGCTGTCAGGCTGATGAGGCGGAGCATGCTAGACTGGCGGACGAAAATGGTGACGATGATGTTTCTTAGCCTGGGTGCCGTGTCAGTCATCTCCCCAGTTCTCTCTTCTGTGTGTTGCCTTCCCCATGCCCCTGCTGACACGCCCTATCAGCGCCGGAGCCGCCATGATTGTACGGATACCGTTCGTGCAGCTACTCGAGATAACGCCCGATTTTCTGCACCGTACAGTGTAAGTGGCCTACATGAATCAACACGAGGGCAAACGCGAGGGCGAACGCGAGGGCCTGAAAGTCATTCTGACGTGGAGCAGAGACGTGGCCATGTGGTCTGTCATCGAGCCTTGCATCGGCATCGTCGCCGGTAGCCTCCCTTTCATCCGCATGCTGTTTGGCCAGAGACGGAAGCGCCTGAACCGCCGCGCTGAGAGTGGCATCGATCTTCCAGAACTACCCACGAGTGGGGGGATCCATGTCAGCACGACATGGGAAGTGCAGTCGGCCTCCATGAACCAGAACTGCGCCGTGGGGGGCCACACCGCGTCCGTCACAGCGTTCTTGGAGGATGGTGAAAGGGAGGGGGCGCAGATATAAAGGCTCACCCTACCGTACCTTCGTGTTCTATTTATTGTCTCTCGAGTACACAATACAGTCTGTCACGTCACACATGCAGCTCGGCTCATCATGATGAGAATCAGTGCCCTCGCTGCGGGTGCCCTCACTGCAGTTGCCCTCGCTGCCGTGTTGCCTGTCACGCGCGGCTTCAGCCTGGACCGCCTTCCCTTATGCAGTGTACGTCTACGAATGAAAGCGCGCGTGAAGCACCGCTAATAACCTAGGTGCCGTGCTTGATCGATGCTCTGAGTGCTGCTGGCTGTCAAGTGAACGACCTCAGCTGCAGCTGCCAGCCTGCGCACCAGTCTGTCATCAAAAGCAATGCATCCCTCTGTCTGATCGGCCATTGCAGCGCTCGAGACGCCTTAGAAGCAAAGAAAAGAGCTGAAATGGCTTGCGCTCTGGGGTCTGGCGCGGTTGCCCATGATGGCGTGGCGCTGTTTCACCAACCGAGTGTCATTTTTACTGCTCTGGCCGTCGGCGTCGAGCTATCGAGGCTCTCTTTGGCTTTTGACTCAATACCGGCGTAGCATAGCCCAGTGCTGCCCTGTCTTCACTGCATGGATCATTTTCTGTTGTATAAAAGTACTGCATTGTACCCGCACCCCAAGAAAACTACGAAGCAAGGAGGAAGCGCATTTCTTCGATTCCATTCTTTCTCACTCTCAACGTCCGGCCTTCAGGCATCACACATCATCACGTGCGACAGTAAACGGCGTTCTCTCCGTCTCCGAGTCCCACCCGAGGAGCCAAAGACGCGCAAAGGGCGGGGCATGGAAGACAACTCATCTGGTTCCGGGTCCGGTAAGGCAGGACGCCCGGCTCTTCTCTCGTTCGATGAAATGCCGGAATGGTTTCAAGACGACAACAATCAGTGGATTCTGCACGGTTACCGACCCATATCGGGCTCGGTTCGCGCCTCGTTCCGCAGCTGGTGGTACCTCCACAACGAGACGGTCAGCATCTATTCCCATCTCATTCCGGCCGTTGTCTTCCTCCTCGGCGAGTGGTTCATCTTGCAGTACCTTGCTGGCAAATATTCCAGAGTTACTAGCCCCGATTTTGTTGCTTTCTCATTCTTCATGCTTACGGCGACCATTTGCTATGCATTTTCGGCTCTTTATCATACTTTGATGAACCACTCTTGCACCGTGGACCATTTCTGCCACCGACTAGATATGCTCGGCATAGGACTCTTCATAGTCGGTGATATTGTCCTGGGAGTTTACATAATCTTTTGGTGTGAGACTACGCTACGCAATATTTATTGGTCTATGGTTAGCTGATCTCCACATGCTCGGCTTTTTCTGTCCCTGGACTGGTAATCGGATCTAACACCGCCTTCATCGGTCAATAGATTGGGGTTTTCGGGGCACTGACCATCATCACGAACGTCCATCCCAAGCTCCAGAGCCACAAATATCGCTCCACGCGAACACTAGCGTTCGTGGCGACGGGCATGTCTGTTGTGGCGCCCTTGATTCATGGGCTCGATATATTCGGGCTAGACCTGATGAGCAAAAAAGCCTTCACACATACTATGGTGGCAAAGATAGGCTGCCTTCTATCTGGAACCGCGCTTTATGCAGTGAGTCTCCCGTTTCGCCCATACTGAAGCAAACTTGATTCTAAGACATGTGATTCGAAAGATGAGGTTCCCCGAAAGTTGGTGGCCTGGAAGATTCGACATGTGCAGCTCCCACTCATTCATGCACATCCTGGTGGTCTGCGCCGCTGTTATCCAGATGATAGGGTATCTGGAAGCCTTCGACTATGCTTACTC